TCCAGAGTCTGGTTGAAGGGGCCCCATGGCAGATTTGGGTAGGGTACAGAGGGGGGAAGGTTCAGGTGGGAAGGCTACCAGATACTGTTTGGCTACCAGATTCTATTCTAATGTTGGGCAGATACTATTGGAGGCAACCCAATGTGATTAGTTATGGCTTTTTTTATAGACAAGTGATATTTCAGAGGATGTACATAAATCCATGTGAATGAACCATGCAGACAAGCTGCACTTTGAATGAGATATGAGAGAGATGGCAACTAATGCATACGGATGGAAAGTTAAGCGTTAAAGATTCTGTTGTGGTCTCTTGCAATTTTAAGACTAATAACTATAGATGTGTTGCATGATAGCTGTTCTGTGACTCAAGGCCCTGGCAGCCGCCCAAGGTATCTTGTCTAGGAGAATAGCTCATATGCTTATTGATATGCATTATATTGCCTTCCCAGAGTCTTTTTAAGGATGGCTAATCCAGGAAGCCACTAAGATGTTTCAATCTCATAAAAAACATTTAAATAGAAATTTTTAAGTGTCTGAAAACAGACACTTCACACATGAAATTGAGCAAATCGAAGAGCACTTGCTTGTGACAAAGCCATCATGCCACACTGGAAGTCTACTAGCTGGATTTGTTTGCATGTTTATTTTGCATATTAGCCAATGCTGCCAACCATGTACCCATCCATCTTATGATGAAACTCTGTCGGTTCATGTATCACACTAAACCACAGCGGCCGGGAGACTGCAGGGTAGTTTAGCATGATATCCAAACCCTGCGTGACTTTTCCATTATAAGCCATCTTCTGCAAACCATGGCTAGTAGTAGGATAGCTGAGGTTGGTTTGCATTCAAGGTGGCTTGGCGTGGCATCTGAACCCACCAGGGTCACTTCAGCTTAGAGTATTTTTATCACTGAGGGAGCTGCATGGCAAGACTTGCAGCTGCCCCATCAGCTGCTCCTTGCCATCTACCTTCCCCTTCTGCTCTACGGGCTGTCAGTGTCTCCCCTTCACTGGTACTGTATTGGCACAGGAGCTGTCCCCATTGTGTTGATAGTTCTTTTCATGTTTTTTGTCCATTAAAAATGTGCAAAATGATTTATTCTCATTTGTTTTCTCTTCTATTCTGCACAAATATGCATATTCAAAGGACATATATATCCTTTGGTATGTTTGGTAAATATAGGTATATTTTCCTATATTATTCACATGTTTCATTGATTATTAAACTGGCAAAGCAGAAATAAACCCCACAAGGCAGAAGGTCCCTTCTCATTCTGCCACCTCTTTCAGAATTCACTGCTAAAAGAAGCACCAAAGTAGAGGAGGAATTGGACAACTATCATTTCAACATGTTATAAGAAAGGGAATACTGATTCAACTTAAGAAGAAATACTATGGCCATGTGAATATGCACTCTAAACTGAGGAGAAAACATATTGATCCCATCTGAAGGGATTCAAAAGTAAAATTTGAAGCAGAAAGAAATAGCAGAAAAAACTATTTTTATTTATTTAAAACTTTTATATGCTGTCATCACATGCCTCAGCATCTCGGGACGGCTCACAAGGTACAATTAAAACAATAAAATAACAAATTCCATAAAATATTATATAAAAACAAAAACAAAAAGCGACTGTTAATGATAAAATATTAGTTTTTAAAATAGCAATTAAATAAAAAGGTTTTAACCTGGCGCCAAAAAGAATATAGACTTGGCACCAGGCGTACCTCTCCAGGGAGCGCATTCCATAATATGGGCGCCACTGCAGGGAAGGCCCTGCTCTGGGTAGTTGTTCTTTTTATCTCCTTTAAAGAGGGCGCCCAGAGCAGCGCCTCTCCCGCAGATCTTAAGGGGCGTGAGGACATGTAAGGGAAGAGGCACTCCTTCAGGTGTCCTGGTCCCAAGCCATTCAGGGCTTTATAGGTTAAAACCAGCACCTTGAATTGGGCCCAGACTTCAACTGGAAGCCAGTGTAGCTGGGTAGAGGACCAGCATTATATGAGAATAACGACTGGTCACCGTCAGCAACCTGGCAGCTCTGTTTGTACGAGCTGAATTATCCAGACCATTTTCAAAGACAGCTCCACGTAGAGTGCATTACAGTAATCCAACCAGGAAGTTACCAGAGCATGAATCACCATTGCTAGGCAGTGCTTCTCCAGGTAAGGGTGCAGCTGGTGGATCAGCCGAACCTGTAGGAAAGCACTCCATACCACCACTGTATGGCACTGTGAGGAAGCAATGGAAGCGGATACTTAACCTACTTGCATGGATTTGAGGGACCAGTCCTTTTTCTGTCCCTTTTAAATACTAACTTATTTGTACACTTTGAAAGCCAGGACATTTTTTAAGGGTTGCCAACATTATCACATTTATACATGGACTTGTTAGCGCGTGCTTCAGGCTCAGTCCCATGTTTCGATGTAAGAAAGTCCTGCTAGTCACAGAATGCCTGGCTGGGAATGCTGGGAGTGGCAGGACTTGCTTTTGTAGAAGCATGTATAACAATGCCTCCTTTAACTTTTTAGACACATATATGGAAAAGGTGCAAAGGGGTCATTACTAAACACAAACAACACATACAAGATTAGGAACCTAAGAAGAGCCCTGCTGGATAAAATCAAGCTTCCACCTAGTCCAGCATTCTGTTCACACTGTGGCCAACAGCACTCTCCTGTCCAAGCAACTCAGCAACTGATGCACATAGGAATACTAACAATAGTGTACAGAGATCAGGAATATTAACCATTGATAGTCTTCTCCTGCATGAACTTGTCCCATCACCTTTGAAAGACTTTCAAATTGAAGGTCATCACTATATCTCATGGCAGTGAATCCCATAGTTCATCTATGCCTGTGTGAAGGACTACTTCTTTTACCTCTCCTGATTATCACATTATGGGAGAGGGAGAATAACATCTTTCTCTATCCTTTCTCTACATCATGCAAAATTCTGTACGGTTCTATCAGGTTTCTCTATACTTGTCTTTTTTCTAGACTAAACAAGCAACAAGGTTCCTGGTTTAAAGTGACTTCCAAGTTAAGCCTGTCAGTTTTCATAAAGAAAGTCTCCAAATTAGCTACCTTTGTATTTGTGAACAAAATGGCAAAAAGGATATGCCTGATTGCGTCTTATTGTTCCCGTCAACTGCATTCCTACAGTACATGTCTTTCTTAGTAAGATGTGATTTCAATGCTTACTTAGTCAATCATTTAATTCTATCAACCAAAGGTCATCAGATCATAGTTTCTTTCACAGAAAAATAAGTTATCTTCAGACAAAGAACAATAATCTCCCTCACTTCTCTTCTAGGTTTCTCAGTTGCTTTAGCAAACTGAGCTGACATATATGCCATCTATACATCTATTCTGATCCACCTCTGAGAAGATAACAGATTGTTTGGCCTTCTGTAAACTATGATATTTTAACTATGATATCGTGAATTAAATTGTTCAGCTCTTTCTAATCATTCAGAAATTCCTTCTTTATGTAGTGGTTTTACTACCATCTCTAGGGTTGCCTTATGATCCACAAGCGGCCTATATTTCTGTTTGAAATATTTTATAGTCTGATATAGTGTTTTAAAAAATCCTTTACTGATACAGGTTGTATTTGTGCTCATTCATGACATTCTTAGTAAAATGCAGGACTAGAGATTTCCATCTAAAGCAGAAGAACACATTCACCTCTTGGAAAGCAATTTGTGCATTCACTTTCGGGAAATAAAAAAAATCATTCCAATAGCTAAGATATATAAGTAGCGGCATGAGGTAGTGAACCTTCTACATACCGTATTTTTCTGTCTATAAGACACCCCCATGTATAGGACGCCCCCCCCTTTTCCTACCGATCTCCATTGAGCAAGCTGATACCGCGTGCATGCCCCACCTTGCCGCTGCCACCCACCAGCGTGCTGTGTCACCGCCCCACAGGGGCACCTTGCCGCTCCCCCGCCCATGTGCACCGCTTTGCCCCCCGCCCCCCCGTGCACTCCCGTGGTTCTCCTCTTGGCCCCCCTGTATAAGACACATCTCCAATTTTAGGTAAATGTTTTTATGAAAAAGTAGCATCTTATACACGGAAAAATACGGTACTTCACTTCTGGCAAGGGTAAAAGGACAGCACTAAGAGCAACTGTAATCCATTTTGAATTCCTGATACAGAAGAAAATTAAACACGCTATTGAGCAACAAATGAAAGTTCATAAAATTTTGTCTGAGTCCATATACTTTGTTCAGGGATGATCCTTTAACTCTGATAATTCTTATTACATACAGCTAGTACAACTGACCTATAGTAAGCTGCATGAGTAACACATTCTAACATAATGTCATCTTATATATGAATCAAGAAGAAATGCCTAAAAGCCAAAATGTTCCATTAGAACTGGAATGAAGGGTCAAACTACAGGTTGTAATAATGGTGTTATTGGAGCTACAGCTGTTTATTTGTTTTTCTCCACTATAACCATGCAGTCCTGATTCAGTTTAGGACCATTATTCTTGGGAAGTGAACAATTAAATCTTCCTTCATTCATTTATCCTTAATGTCTACTCCCATACAACCTGTTTGTATGAAGTAAAAACAGAAAAAAAGAGGGAAGAATCTTTGAAATATATTGCAGAACTTTAACCGCATTGATAAATCTATTTTTCAGTACATCTGTGATGTCCAACCAAAGTCTCAATGATGTTAATTGAAAAACATATGTAATTTGAACTTTTGCTTGCATAAAATATTAATGTTTTAACAGGCATATAGAAAAGGAAAAAAAACAATTATCATGGATCGTGTGAATGAATACTAGCACAGATGTTTAAGAGGATGTTTAAACAGACACAGAATCCACCAGATTCAGCATGTGACTGCAACACTGATAAAACCAGACTTAACATTCTGATTTATAACATTCTCAGTTTTCTGAATGGAGACTTACATAATGTCCAAGGAGACTATTAACTGTGCTTTGATACATAGTACTATTTAGTTGTTTTACCTATTAAATGGCTTTGACATGTTGAATCAGTTACTGCGTCTTCTTGGTCTTCCTGGAAGTTTTCTGTTACCACTTTGACCTGTATTGTGAGAAAAAAGTAATTAAAACTGCTTGCAGTATTTTTTAATAATAATTACCAGAAGTCACATGATGTCAGAGCACATCTGTTTAATTTTACTACCCGTATCAACACCGTTTAACTAAGTACAATTTCAAAGGCACACAGAGTGACAATTGAGAATGCACATCACCCTGTTACGAATGACTGGTTCTAAACACTTTTATTGAAATGACACTCTACAACTGTTAACTCTTGGGATGTTAACTAATGGGAAGGCATAATTCTCTGTAAGGAAAGAGTTTCAGCTATGATTTATTTTAGTAAGAATACAGAAATGCATTTGGGTCCGCTGACCCTGAATTTATCTATATTCCAGAATACTATGCATCTTTCAAGTATGCCAAAGGAAGCACGTTTCATGTGCATCGTGGTCTTTCATCATGCAGGTTTGTCATCACTTGATGCTGGTTTCTTTTATAACTCTGGCAAACTGCAATGTCTTCATGCTGTCATCTGGGACAAAGGAAGCCAAGGGAAAATGTGCAAAACAGTGTTCACTTTCCATTCCAGCACTTTCTGGTTTTTAAAAGTTAGACTCACAGGTTACCAGTAGTATTTAAACTAAAAACAAACAAACCATGAGGGTAGTGGAAGACAAGATACATATGGCATATGCTATCTAGTTGAGCTAGTTCCAAGTCTCCAGTTTGCTCAACTGAAACAGAAACAGGAGACATAATTTTATGAGCCTTAGTCCATAGACAGATTAAAAGGGCAATCAGCTTGCTGCTTTACATGCTCCTTTATCATGTAGTGGCCTAAACATACATGGAAACATGCCATTTGCATATCCTTCACCATGGCAGCTGCCTGGGAAGAAATAACTAATATTAGAACACTATTAGCCTCAATGACCTGAGCAAGTCAGCATGATTTTATTACAGCTGGCCCAATGGCTCATTCACATGCACACATCATGTGTTTTCCATGGCCTTGATGTGCATAAAAAGAACCCTTCACAACCAAATAGAGAAACAAGCCATTATATCTTTCCCTACTTCTCCAAATTAGTTGAGTCTGAGGCTCAACATGGAGCTAACCAAGTGAACAAATGAGCCAGACTTGCAGCAAAGCTTTGGTGGTGAGTACATGCCCTTGACAAGGTGGATGTGCCCATGCTACTAAAGGAATTTTGTGTGAAAATTATACAAACACACAGGACAAGTACCAGCACTTTGTATTGTAAGGAGTATACAAATTGCAAAAATAGAGTTGATGCCTCTGATGAAAAAGTAACGTTTTACGTCTACAGCACATGAAAGACACATGAAAAACCCACCTTAGGGTACACTAAAGACAAATAGTACATTTTATTTGTCTACTGAGGTGAAATTAAATGCCTTTTCTCCACACCAAGAAGAACAAGTATCAGTTACCAGCTTGAACTTGATCTCTGAATATGCTTTGCATTGTTATCAAGGGCGACAAAGGAATCAGCTCAGCTCAGGGCTTTGGAAAAGGTTTATGCTGTTCTCAAAAGGCATTTATTGTTTCCTTGTTAGGATAAATAATGCAGCATGGGAAATTTTATTTATTTATTTATTTATTTATTTATTTAGGGGACTTCTATGCCGCCCCATTCGCCAAAGCCTCGGGGCGGCTCACAAACCATAAATAAATAGAATTCAATAAAACAATATAAATTAATAATATAAATTAAGTCGCCCTGAAATGCTATCACGTGCTTGTGTTTTCAATCACAGCTATCCCTTTCACTGATTTTTCTACAAACTGATTCACAGTAAGGCGCAAGCAAGGAAAAGAAAAGGCATCAACAGCCAAGAAATAAGATGCACTATGTACTGAAAGATATTAAGTCATATGAGCTTAGAGGGCATGTTAAAATTTACCACAACTGTTCCATCATCATCTCCATCTTTTCTGAAAGAAGAAACTATAAGCATTTTGTTTCATTCCGATGGCCTTAACATGCTAAGTCTAATTACAGGCAATCCCTGGGTTACGAATGAGTTTTGTTCCTGAGAAAATGGAAATTGGTCTTTAAGTCGAATTTGTACTTAAGATCATGTATAGTCGGCCCTCCAAATTCACAGAGGTTAGGGACACAGGACTCTCATAAAAGTGGAAAAAATGTGACTATCTCTACCCTGCTCCAAATCACCAGTGCCTCTTCTCTGCAGCAAAAAAATGCTGGAGAAATTTTCCTCTCCAGATCAGTTGAGAAGGAAGGATTTTTCAGAGGCCTCCCTCTCTAGCCTTTCACTTCCTCTCTCTCTATGGGGATGACAATTTCCTGCAGTAATTAAAAAAAAGGCTTTATGGCAATTCATTTGCAAGTTCAGTTTGTTCTTAACTTAGAAGTTCATAACTTGGGGACTGCCTATATTTCATTCATCATAGACATTCAAGAAAATTTATATTTTAAAACCTAAAGTTGTAGCATATGATGTAATCCAATCTTCAGAGACAATGTCCTAATAACACTTTGATTTTCAGCTTAACAAAGTTCAGTCTGGAGAAGGAAAAGGTAATAACTTTCCAGCATGACTAATTTGTCCTCAGAAGTTAAAGAGAGAAATTAGCATTTCTTCATTATTTATGTATATTCACAGCAATCTTTGTACTTGCCCGATAAAATGAAGTGTGTTTCTTGAAGATATACCCAAGTCCTAAATGGCTATTATTGTTACATTTGCAAAGACTTCCCAAAATGAGACAAAAAGTCTGCAAATTACTGAATCATTAGACAATAATAAAGAAGTTTGAAAAGAAATTGTGAAAGCAGCATGCCTTAAAAATACTTCTGTACAGTGAAGATATACCCTAAGCTGTCAGTACCATATTAAATGGGGCATAGTTAAATTGAGTGGCTGTGATAAGGGGCTCCGCGTTGCTATCAACGTTCTAGATCAGCTGGATTGAATTTCCTGCATATTGCACATTTCCAGACTTCCATTCTCTCTTATTCCTTTCAGTGACATTACAAGGGCAAACTTAGATATGCATATAATTTGTGGTTTTATAATGCAGGAGACATCTACATTTCCAAAGAAAAGATGATACCACAGAAGCTACAGACCAAAAATAAAGTAAAGTAAAATATTAAAAAGTAGCAGGGGTCAAGGAAAAAGTTTTCGAAAGCATACATATTCAGAATACGGTTTGGAGAGACTTAACAAATGACCTTGTATATATAAGAGAAAGGCTTCTACTTCTGTACAATTCTAGCTGTAGCAAAGCCTTTATTTACATGAAAACATAATCCCACACACATTTGCTTGAAGTGGAAAGGAAGAGGCTGTTACTTTTAACCTTAAATACCCTAAACATCAATGCTAAGCTAATAGATTTTCCAGTACCCATTATAAAGGGCTGCCAAAATGTGATTTACCTTTAGAATATATTCCAGGGAAATGTGTAATTCAAATTTCAAGCTTCCAAAACAGTAGCGTGCACAGGACTTTAATCACTCACCTTTTACAGAGTGACAACAGAAAAAGGCTTAGAAGAAACCACTGAGAAGCTTGACGTCAAAAATTATAGGATGGCTTATTTTAAAGGAATGCCAAATGAATTCTAAAGACAGCCACTATGGATTTCATTAGATTCCTTAAACAGGATTTCCTAATTTAAAAACAAACAAACAAACAAACAAAGGTTAATAGCAGCCATGAGGATTCCCTGTTTTATGGACCGTGACCACGATACCTAGAAATAGGAAGGTTAACATTTTCCCATGTCAGCATTTTTCCAAGGAAAATTCCTCTCCCAGTGCTTGTTATTAACTCTTTAATTGCATGCAGATAAATAACAGCTGGGGAAAATTTTCACTGGAAAAATGCCATGGAAAAGGAATTAACCTCCTGAGTGCCATGATTCTGATGCAAATTGTTCCCCTGGCTGCCTTTAACCCTTTCAAGAAAAAGAAAAAAAACATGGGAGAGTCTACTAAGGTCACCTCTAGTTCGGCTGTAAGGGATGGGTCGTTCAGAGCTTCATTGCAATGAACACATACCCCCACTCTGGATGTGACTTAAGACTACTCTATGACAGTAGTTATGAAGCCACTGCTCTGTTCAGGAGCACATGTAGTAATAGCTGTTTTACATGTACCCATTAGCTCAGGATGGAAAGCAAGACAAATATGGAGGCATTTGGAACTAACATTTAAAGGCTTAATGCCTGTGGCAGATATCAGAGGCCTGTGAGTGACTGATGTCTTTCTGAATCTACTCCTTTGTACATCTGTCTAGGCTGAATAATACAATGACATTTATCACAGTTAAAAATGCACAGAAGTAGAAAGCACTTCTGATATTTACACCTGTGGGGAAATGCAAACACTGCCAAATCCATCAAATATGATTTTATATATTCAACACATGTGAAGCATGTTTTCGATATGTTCAAAGTGGCCTAAAAACATTTAAAAATAGAGGTATAAAAATCACATTTAAAACAGTACAGTTCAAACACACACACAAACCAACCAATCAACCACAGCCTCTCTATATAACAAGATGTTATATCGTCTCAGCTCAGGAAGCAGATCATTCTGCAGTAATGGGGAGAGTCCTGTGCTATAAAGCCCTTTGTTCTAGGCATGTAACACCTTATCTCACATCATTTTATTTATTTATTAATTAAAACATTTCTATGCCGCCCCTTGCCGAAGCCTCGGGGCGGCTCACAACATACAATAAAATGCACAATAAATTAAAACAATAACAATTAATATATATATATTAAAATAAAATAAGCCGCCCTGGCCAAATAAAATTTCCATGGTATTAACATTTAAAATGCTGCTTAAATAAAAAGGTCTTCGCATGGCGCCGAAAAGCAAATAACGACGGCGCCAGGCGGACCTCTCTGGGGAGCGCATTCCAT